ATTCCTGCTCCCATTGTAATAATTGATTTCAAAGAAAGTTGAACTGGGCCCTTTGACATCTGAGTAGACTGGACTACTGTGTGAAGTCTTAATGCAAGACTTGTACTTTGTTTGAATTGCACTCAGATAATGATAAATTTGTATATTCTGTTTATTTTGCATAAAATAAACACATTTTCATTTGTTTTTAATTACTTCTAATTAATTAATTCATCTTTTCTTAACACCAGGAATGTGAATGAAAAAGAAGATCAGAAAGTTTACCTTGGCCGATACAGATCTGATACTTCTTTAGACAAGTAAGTTTTTCCCCTTCCTATAAAGTATTTTTCGTTTCTAGTGCATATGATGATTTGTATGTGTTTTGCCTAGAAAGAGAAGAATTAAATAAAAAGTTTAACGTTAATTCTTGCATTTATGACCATTTCTAACACTTGTACACATTTTTCCACCTAGAACTTTTTGTCTTTCAGGAGGGATATTTGTACATCTAGAAAAGTGATTCTCAAACAGGGGGTTGAGATACCCTGGGGTGTCACTAGATCTTTTGAAGCATTATGTCCATTTATTATGCTACCTGGTGGCCTTCAAGCTCTTCACACTGGTGATGACATCACCTTAAGATGGCTTAAATAATATACCAGAACCGCATAAGCTAAATACATTTTGAAGTATGCTGGGTGGTGTAAGGAGATAAATGCAGTGTTAAGAGATAAGCAGATAAACTAAGAAGATAAGTCCAGGCTCAGGATTGGTCCTGATTGGACAATCCCCCATCTCCCATACCAGGCTTGGACAATTCCTCTATCCCCAATGCCAGGCTCCTCTGCAGGGAAGTAAGCACTGTAATATATATATGTTTTTTAAATTAGTACTTGGGTGTGTCCCATAACCACTAAATTATTGGGATAAAACAGAGCTGCTCAACCCCTGGCCCATGGGCTCTGCATGGCTGCTGCAGGAAGCGCTGGGCAGCACTAAGGGGAAGGGGCTGCTTTTCCCCCATGCCAAGCACACTTCTGCCACACCAGTGCTGCTGTTACTGCAGCTGTTCACTGTGAGTATGTGAATCTGCAGCAGGCACAGGGTGGGTCAGGGCTTCACACGGGTCCACACCAGTACCACATCTGGAGGTGGAAATGCTGATCACAAGCAGCTAGTATTGATTTATAAAAAGACAAAACATGTTAGACAAATCTGATCTGCTTCTTTGACAAAGTAACTAGTTGGGTGGATAAAGGGAATGCTGTGGATATAGTGTATCTGGACTTCAGCATGGCTTTTGACAAGGTCCCACATGACTGTCTCATAAACAAATTAGAGAAATGTGGGCAGGACAAGACTACCACAAGGCGAATAGATTACTGGCTCAAAAGCCTCAAGCAAAGGGTAATTATAAATGGATCCATGTCAGAATGGCAGGAGGTTTTGAGTGGAGTCCTACAGGGGGACTGTCCTAGGCCTAGTGCTCTTCAATGTGTTTATTAACAATTTAGATGTTGGCGTAGAAAGCCTCTTGAGCAAGACTCAATATGAGTCTGTAGTGTGATGCAGCCACACAAAAGGTGAATGTATTTTTGGGATGCATCAATAGAAGAATTAGGTGCAAGACACAGAAGGTGATAGTGCCACTCTACTAAGCACAAGTTAGGCCTCATCTGGAGTACTGTGCGCAGTTCTGGGCTCCACACTTTAAAAAGGATGTGGGCAGAGGCGGCCCATCCTATCCTGTGGAATCTGTGGCCACAAGGGGCCCTGCAGCCAAGGGGTCCCCTACGGCTGTGAATACTCCAAATCAGTACTGTAGCAAGGGGGGTGGGTGGTTGCCACCACTCTGCGTTGCTGCTGGCACTGGCTTCTTTGGCCACTTGCCACCCCTGTCTTCCCCCTGCTGCTGATAACCTCTGTCAGCTTCTTCAGCTGCTCACCACACCCCCCTCCTACCTCTCCACCCCACTGCTACCACTGCTGCCACCGGCTTCTTCATGTTGGGGGCTCCCAAAAAATTGTAGGCCAGCCCTGGATGTGGAGAAGTTAGAGAGGGTCCAGAGGTAGGCAACAAAGATGATCAAGAGCCTGGAAGGCAAGTCATACAAGTAGAGGCTGAAGGAGCTAGGCATGTTCAGCTTGTGAAAAAGGTGTGTAAGAGCAGTTTTCAAATACTTGAAAGGCCGCCAAAAAGAAGAGGGAAAGCACCTTTTCTCTCTTGCTGCACAGAGGAGGATGTGGACCAATGGCTTGAAGTTGCAGCAAAGTAAGTTTAGATTGGATATCTGGAAAAACTTCTTTACTGTTAGAATAGTGTGGGAAATTGTGGGCTCTTCATGACTAGAGGTATTCAAGAAGAGGTTGGACAGCCACAGGTCGGGGTTGATCTAACATATGTCTACTATGGGTATTTCCCATGCTCCTGAGCTTTGCTAGTTTCCCCCTGCCCCTTCTGCTGCATTTGTCAGGGTGTTTTTAGGCCTGGGATGTACCAGTGCTCCTGCTGGGCCCAACGCCAGTCCTGGCTAGAGGGTCTCGCCCCTCTGCTCAGGATCAGACCGATCGCCATATTTGGAGTCAGGAAGGAATTTTATCCCATGTTGAGATTGGTATGGACTGTGGGGTTTTTGCTTTCCTCTGTAGTAGGGGATGTACCTGGGACTTCTTGAGCATATATTGACAAAATTTTATAAAAGTAGGGCATTGGCTACCCTGGTTCCCCTGCTTTACCTGTGGCAGGGGAGAGTATTTACATCTGTGTTGTGTCAGGGTTGATGTTAGTCTTATGTAGAATTTAGATTATGGTTTGTACAGGATGGTTTAGATGAGGGATGATCCTGCATCAGGCATGGGGTTGGACTAGATGAGCTCTGGAGGTCCCTTCCACCCTACTTCTCTATGATTCTATGATAATTGGGCACCTAATCCCAGTGTGTTGGGCCAGGTGGGGGTGGTGCCTGCCCCCTTTCTCCAATCCCCATGTGAGGGGCTGGGTAGGGGCAGTGCCAGGCCTCAGGGACCAATCCTAGTGTGAAGGGAGGGAGAGGGGTACTAGGCTCTTTAGGGCCAATCCTAGTGTGTGGGAAAGGAGGCATGGCCTGGGTCCCAGGGGCCTATCCTGGCATGCAAGGCTTGATCTGGTCTGCAGACTGGCTCTGCCCCACTCATCAGGCCTATGGTGCCAAGTGGTTGAGTATCACTGAACTACAGATTTCCCTTGATTTATGTGGGTTCTTTATATGCAAATTTGCTCTTATGTCATGAGCATATTTAGATCCATAACTCATTATATGCAAAGAAATTTGCTCTTATGCGATCAGCACAGATGCCCCCCTACCCAAGCAGGTAAGTCTGTGGGGGGAGGGGAAAGGACTGTTGCCCCACTCACCCCAGCCCTGGCTGCAGTGGCTCCGGGAGTGGCTGGTGCCAGCTGCCTGCAACCGCTGGGCTGTACCATGCTCCACCTGTCCCCACTCACCTTTGCTCCTGGGATGCATCATGCCATGGTGCAGGCAGCTGGTGTCCACTGCTCCCAAGGGTGCTCCAGCATGGGCTGGGGTAAGTGCCGCTGCCCAGGGCTCCACTTGTCTGCACTCACCCCAGCCCATGCTGGAGCGGCTCCAGGAGCAGCCGACACTAGCTGCCTGCACCAGGGCACGGCGCAGCCCAAGAGCAAAGGTGAGTGGGGACAGGTGGAACCCAGGCGTGGGGGGACAGGCAGAGCACAGTGCAGCCCAGCAGTTGCAGTCAGCTGGCGCCGGCTGCTCGTGGGGATGCTGCAGCCAGGGCTGGGGTGAGTGCTGCTCTGTTCCCTCTGCTTTGCTGCCTTGTTCAGCCCTGGGAGTGGCACCCCTCCCACCATCTCTTCCCTAGTCCCAGCCTCACTCCTTCCCTCCCTCCCTCATCACCATGCAAACCTATCCCTATTTGTGACATTGTCAAGTGGGTTTGCTTTATGTGAATTCAATGTATGTGCCATTCTCCAGGAATGCACGTACTGCATAAATAAAGGGAAACCTGAAAAAATAAAGTTCCCCCACAGTTGTGCAGTTTTGGGGCTCAGGCCTCAGGTAAGTATGTACAGAATTGTGTAACTGCCTGATCAGAATGCAGCCTACTGTGCATGTTTGATGTGTATGTCTGCTCTGCATGTGGAATAGGATTGCAAACTGTTCATAAGTGTCAAAAAAGCAGTTATGGAGCTGGGTAAGGGCTATTTGGGTATGTAAAGTCGGACAGGATTTTTTTCTTCTTTGGCCATTTATATAGACAATCACTTGGGAGTCACTTATTGTGCATTAGATACATGCCAGTTCCTTGGAGGAAAAGGAACACTTACCCACCTTCATGGTAGCTATTATTCAAGATGTTTTGTACGTGTATACATTCCATACATCTTTGTAATTACTTTTGAAGGAACTGAGAAGGTGGATGATATGGCTATCCCCTTTATCCTTTGTCTCTAAGAACAAGGACGTACAAAGCACATACTCTCTGACTCAACAATAGTGCTAATGAAAGCCTCTAGCTCGAGTGCACTATGTACATACACACTACGTGGATGTGTACTTGCATACCACATTTTGAAGAACAACAATTAATCATACAGATAAGTGTCAGCTTTTTCCTACCGTTAACTAATGATCAATCCCACTTTTGTGTTTGAGAAGGGTGGGGCAAAGGGTGTTTCCTATGCAAAATATGTCTTCCTTCTCATTAAGAACAAATTATATATGGGGAAAAGAGATGGAGGACATGCATTACATCAGTTGGTCAGGATGCTGGTTATACTTTTATTATACAAAATACATCTGACTCCATAACTGCTTTTATGAGGATTCAACTTTTCCTTTATGTGACAACTAAGTCTTGAAAGACAAGACTGTAACGGTAAAGAGGATGTTCAAGCCAACCCCAGTTTCCTACTTTATTATTGCCCAGAATCCTTGAAACATGGGGACAGTAATACAAAGTAAGTTAAACATGGACATTTGAAATTTTCTTCATTATCCCCAGTAAAACAAAAGTTGAAGGAATGTCTAGTATGTAAGTCTGATACTGATACAGCTGGTTCTTCAGACATTTGAGAATTATCAAGAAATGTATTCACTGTTAGCAAGTTTAGTGAGACCTCTAGTGATCTACTGAATAACTGCTGGCTAGTCACAGGCTACGTTGGACAGAAATACTATTTATTTATGTAATATTAAGCTTTTTATTTAAAAATTAAACTAAAACCCAGAGAGGACACTGGTATAAACTGTACATTGGAATCCACATAGAGAATTCCACTGAAAGTACCAGTTGCCTATTGTTTAAGTGAAGGCAGATTAAGTAATTCTTTGTTTCACTATATGGTATTAATTCAGTAGATACCTGAATAAACATTGCTATGCTGTCTCAATAGATTTGTATAATATTCCTGTAAAAAGGAGTAAGAAACACTAATTATTTTTCTGAATATTTCTTTATTTAAATAAATAGGTTTTGATGGAAACTTTTTTTTAAAGAATTTGTTAGCCAGGTACTTAAAACAAATATGCACATTAAAGTTACTAATCGGTTGTAAGGTATATAGTTTAGCCTTGGTCTTTTTGGTAGAGTTCTAGTTGATATTGGTAGGGGTTCCATATATGGAATGAATACAGAACTATGTAAGCGGAACTGGCTCTGGCTCTAAGGTATTATGAACGATAGTCGCCCTTCCATAAGAGAGAAAAAAAATACTGGGATAGCTTCATAATGATTTCACTGAAAGGTTTTAGGCAACAAATGTAGAATCCATAAAGGGCATGAAAAGTCATGTGCTTATTCCTTAATGTAGATCTAATGGCTTCATAAAATCAATATTAAGTACTACTTGTCTAATCTCTTTGGTTGATGTATCTCCTGTGGATTTTAGCTCTGTTCCAACAAGGATGCTATACTAAGGTATTTTCAAATCACATTGATCTCTAAAAGCCATAAAAAAACAGTGCGCCTCTCATGGGACAGTGGATGATGGTTTCTGTATTAAATATATACTACTACCTTATCAAAAACAGTCTAAATATATTCACTAGAACTGATAGCAATTTAAAGGAAAAAATATTAATTTTATTTTTGTGTCATTTTGGTAGATATAGAAGTCAACATTTGACTGAGATTTAATTTTTTTCAGCAAGCTAGACAAACGTTCAAATATACATGTATTATTATTATATTGTTTCACTTACTATTTTATTCTTACCTCTTAACATCTGGTATACTGTTAATAAAAAATGTTTAGACTCCATAATATTTGATTTTCCATTTTATTCTTAGTGGTGTTTTTTTTTTTTTAAATAAGACTTGATTCTAATCTAAAGTGATTGTTATAATTTATTTTGTACTATTTTTTTCCATACAGAATTTCAGATAGAAGTGATGTTGAGAAAGCAAATAAATCCCCAGTCTTGGATAAGAAGCCAACTAATAGGTATGAGTTTAGGGAACCTACTTAATTATGAATTATTACTTTTTGTTTGTTTAGTTACAGATCTATTTTCAGATAAATAACTAATAGTACATGGTTATGTAATGACCTTAGTATTCCTTACAGGTTGTTTGAGGGAGGGTGGTAACTTTTTGTTTTTTGTTTTTAGTGTGGACAATTTAGGTAAAAACATCTCAAAATCTCAGCAGTAAAATTTCAATTGTCCTAAAAAGTTGAAAGCCATAAACAGGGAAGGGGAGGAAGGGATGGGACAAGGGACTCTCTGCTTCTCTGTCTCTGTCTCTATATATATAGGCAGATAAAAACCAAAACTATTTTGGGGGAAGGTCAGTTTTCCAGTAGGGAAAAGTTTCAGTTTTCGAGGGAAGTAGATACTTTCTCTAAAAGTTTTTCATTTTATGAACAACCTAACCTTTATGAAAAGGTCAGGTATTATATTTATTAATTTAATGGGACAAATTCATTCTTAGTGCAACTTCATTATAATTATATCCTTGAGAAATTATGTCTAGTATAGCTGGTGGTGATAACTGAACCATGAAAGGGCTCAGATACTTCTAAAGAGAAACTTAGTAACTCAGAGCACCAAATTTCCAGATCCATGGGTCTGCATGCTGGATCTTGCCTCACTGGGCAGGAGTGGTGCTGACCCCAGGGGTCAGTCCTGGGGTGAAGAGCCTGGGAGTGGGGCAGTACCAAACCCCCAGGACCCAATCCAAGTGCACTAGGGTGGGAGGGGCAGTGCCAGGCCCCCAGAGATCAATTGCCATGTGTAGGGATGAGAGAGGGCAGTGCCCAGGGCCCAGTCCCTGTTTTTAGGATAGGGAAGTAGGGTTCAACCCTGGTGCATGGGGCTCGATCCATCTATGGACTAGTCTTACCTCACTCATCTGGCCTGCAGGGCCAACAGATTGAGCGCTGGTCTAGAACAAAATTCAAAGTCGGCCGTAAGTGGGTATTAAATAGTTCATCAGTTTTGTTTTTACCTTCTATACTAGTGGTTCTCAACAGGGATGCCATGAGATCCTTTTAAGGATACTCTGGGGTGGTTTGAAATATTAGGACTGTTATGTGTGCAAACACCTGTGCATGATTCACAAGATAAACCCAGGTTTCAAATAGGAATACTTAGTGTCAAAAACATTTTTATTTGCTGTGGACTTTCTGATTCTTTGTAACAGAAGTGCTTCTAATATTTTTCTGCAGTTAAAAAATGAGTGAAATTAGTTTTCAAAATGGAATGCTGCTAAATTCAGAAAAGTTATGGAAATATGCCTTGAGTCTAAAAAGGATGACAACCACTGCTTTATATATTTGCTGTCAGATAGTTATAACAAGATGCATATTTATTCTTAGTAGCTCAGAAGTGGAGATAGCAGGGCAGTAACTTGAGAAGTAAATTTTTTTTTATGAGAAAAATTACAAGAATTAAAATATGATCTTTTTGCTGTCCATTATGGGTAGAATTTTGGATAATGTGTTAGTCATCTAAATAAAGGTGCTTAATTTCCATAAGTAATGATAAAACATACAATTTTAAATATCAAAACCAATATTTAGTATTTTTGTGGCTACAGAGGGCAGTATAGAGACATGGATGGATATAGTGGCTAAGATATAAAGAAGACAATGATATGTAGTGCACAATTTGAGAATATTTAAGAAGCTCAACCTTTCAGAACACTGTCTGGACATCTGAATCCTTGAAGATATTTCAATTTAGATGCTAAAAGTTACTACCATATTTACCCGAATCAAAGATGATTACATTTAAGATGATGCCCCAATAATTCCTTTCTAGACATGGAAAATATATAAATTTGTTATAATTTTCCATGTCTAGAATCTTATTATTGTAGTGTTTTCTTAAATTTGTCTCCCCTGCCACAGCAGCAGGGAAAGCAATGCAATAGGGGGCAGGCAGTGGGTGGTGCTGGCAGTGGGAGGAGAAGCAGGGGGCTGACAGTGGTGGGGCAGGTGGTAGGGGGCCTATGGGTGGGGCAGGCTGTAGGGGCAGCAGTGGGTGAGTCAAGCAAGTTGTCCCCTGGACTTTGACCCCCTACATAACTTGTTCCCCTACACCTTTCCTCTTGCTGTCCATCCTCCTCATCACTTTCCCTCCCTACTGCCTGTCCCATTTTGCCTGCATTCCCCACTTTCAGCCCCCTCCTGTGGTGCCCCCCCCATGGCACTTGCCCCCATACCTGCACTCCTTGGCACCTTCACCCTTCCTGTGTCTGCCCCTGCCCACTGCCTCTACTCCCCTTCCCCACCACTTATCCTATGGCTCTGGTAGGGCTTCAGCCCAGGGCCTGGAATGTGGGGGTGCTTCAGCCCCAGCCCAGCCTGGTAGCAGCCAATGATGGGAGAGCTACTCAGCTGGGCTGGGCTGAGCTGGAGCAACCCCATGGTCCATGCCCCAGGATGGAACGGTCTTGGAGCCTCGCCATAGCCAGAAGATATGTGACAACAGTGGGTGTGGAAGAGGAGCAGAGGCTGCAGTGGGAAGAAGATAGTGCAGGGGCAGGCAGGGGGGCAGACGCTGTTGAGGGGAGCAGGCAGTTGGCTCTGACCCCAACTCCAAGTCTGGACCAGATTTAGAGTTGCAGCAGCAAATCCATAATTTATCACTTAAAATTAGAACTTAATTGACGAATAATAAATACATTAAATATCCTTCCTTAACAGGCAGTCCTGGGCTCCTACCACATCAGTCACTACCACTGATACCACTAGTACCTCTCCTGTGAAGAAAAAAAGGTATTCACTGTCATCTTTCTTCTGCTGTTGGAGGATATTTATGGGTTTACATCATGTCACCAGTAGACTCTTAACACATTGCTCTTAACAGAATACGAGCTTCTTTCACAAACAAGCTTGGATTCCTTTTCAAAAGAATTAAGCTCTGACTGTCTGCCCTCAAAGTGCTTTAGGCCAGGACTGCCTCTCAACTGTCTGTTTTTGCTGGACCAGACACAATCCCTGATTCTTGCATGGGGCCCTTCAATTCCAAGTAACACAAATGAACAATAGTATTGCATTCAATATTGATAACGTTTAAGTTTAAATAAATCTAATTTCACTGGTATCAACTAAGAGGTTATGAGAACTGGCTGTAGAGGAGCTTTCCAAATAGTTAACTGAAAATGGGCTGCTGGTGGATGTCCATCTTTCTTTATATATTTCCTTCCCAATAGCAGATTCCACCTTCTGTTCTTTTTGGGCTTTCCTCCCATTGCCTTTTCTTTTCATGTGCTAAAGTGATGACCAGTGAAAAAGTTACTGTTGAAACTAAAGTGTTATTTCTGGGTTTAGAGTGAATACCACAGTGTGATCAATGGAGGGGTAGGCAGTTCACCTCTCAGTAATTTTTTCAGGTTTGCAGACCTGAGATAAACCTGGCCTGGCATCAGTTATACTCAGCTAAAATGGGAAGGCTTTTATAACACTATCCCCAAGAATGATGGTTAGATACTTATTTACTTTAACAACAAAAAAAATTAAGATTCTGCACAGAACTAAGATTCTGAATGTGCTGTTTTCAGTGACATAAATACCTGGGTGTTTGGCACCCTGATGTATATATCTTACATTTGCCATCAAGTTCTTCATCATGAGACCTGTTTGTATTAGCACAAAATGGCTAAATTCTTCCACCACTTACACCCAAGATGTATATTTCAGAGACACCACACTACTTAAAGCTTTAATTTTATGTCCACTTACCTCAAATTCCCTCAAGTGCACTAACAAAGTGATCATAATAGTGTATCAATATGGCAGCTGTTAGTAAGGCTCTGGAAAAGAAGTTGGAAGGAAAAGCTAATCTCAGAAAAAGCTTATAAGATTTTCATACCATTTTTGACATACTAATATTCTCCTTTCAATGTATTTTATATAGAGAAGCAGAACTGAATTGCTATTCTTCACTAAATATAAAATACCCATGCTTTATATTTTGTTTATTAATACTTTACAGGCAATCTTGGATGCCACCCCCTGTCTCAGGTTATAAGGTATCTACAGACTCTGTGGAAACTAAAAGGTAAGCAGTAACAAACACTCTTAAAGACTCTTCCCCACCCCAGCAATTGTATCCTGCATGCTAAAACCATTGTCTAAGAATGCCTTGCCACTTTACAGCTCTGTGTTAATCCAGTTACCATGCTCAAGGTCTTACGGTGAAGTTGCACAGTACACTTAGACCACACTAAGGGAATTTAAAACACAAGCATCTACACATTAAAGCTCATTAACTCATGCTTAGTGCTCTGTGAGCATCTCACAGTTATGCTGCTTCAGGCAAGGCTTAACTCTGGGCCATGTTACCTAGCTCGTGTTAGGGTAATTTCAGTCTGCTCTATGGAGATAAAATGAGCAATCTACAGTCTTCCAGCATTCCAGGGTGCACCACTCCCAGCCCTCCCCAACCCAGAGCAGGGGTAGAGCCTAGGTGTCCTGGCTCCTAGCCATGGCCCAGCTCACCACCCTCTAGTGCCGAATCAGAGCTGTACAGACAAGAAATGGCATTAACCCTTAACATGTGACTGCTTACAGCATATTCTAACTAACATTGCTTAACATTCCAGAGATATAGTATAGTCTACATGTAACATGTCATTTTACCCTTACTTTTCTTCCTGTTTTAGGATACCATTGGAACATCTTAACCCCTTTATACTCCAGGCTGATATTAGCTGTATGATTAACTGCATGTCTTAGACAATGTTAACATACACCAACTATGTATCCATACAGCTACCATGCTATATTGTCTTACAACTCTACAAAGCCATGGAAATAACCATGATATTTAACATTTTCTAATAAAGTCTTAAATTCATAATCATTATATAGGAAACCTTATTCTGCAGGGTACTGAGGACTGTCCACTTCCATTCACTCACCTGTCAGTAACAGATGCTCTGGAAACAGTTTAGAAAAACTAGTGCTAAAGTTATTTTTACATGACCACTTGAGCGTTTGATTCTAAAGTCGCAGCTGCTTTCTCTCTAATACATAGTGAACCTGAGAAAATGTTGTGCTCCCATCTCAGTGTCAAGAGAGATCAATGATTTAAAGTGTGTGCTGCTGTGGCATTCCTTTCCTAGTGCACTTGTAGGCATTTGAGAAGACCTTGCACTTGGTCTGGTCTGCAGGGTCTGGGCAGTTGCCTCACGGATCTGAGGCATTCTTCAATTCCAGTCTCTAGAAGTTGACTTATTTGGGAGATAGTGATAATCAAAAGGAAAGCAAGACACAAGTGCACAGACACAAGGCTATGGTTGGAATCTCTTCTTTCAAGAAATCCCTTTTTGGCTGTAGCCCCAGTAAGGTTCACATACAAGTCTTTATTAATATCCCCAAAATAATGGATCAGCATTTATACCTGCACCTTGTCAGAAAGGGGCTGGACTGTGTCCTTCCTGAATGTGTATCGTATGAATCTTACGAATTCCTCCTTTTTTATTTTACATGTAGCCAGTTTTGCTGTCAGTCCAATTTCCTACATGGATCAGGAGCTTGGAGTGACTTGTTTTAGATAGGCCTATGAGTACTAGCTCTAGATGACCACATCATCCAAGTAAGGCAGTACTGTGTGGCTAGTGATCCTGATGCATTGGCTGCTAGAAGGCTGTGTGTGGTTTGTTGAGACCAAACCACATAGACCAAAATGGTATTATCTGAAGAGAGTGTAAAAAGCTGCCTGTTCACAAAATTCTGGTGCGAGTAGGATCTGTCAATGGTGCTTTCTGAGGTCTACTGTGAAAACGAATCTTTTTTGTCCAGTCATCTATTCAGGGCATAGAGTTCACATTGAATTTAGAAAAACTGCTGACCTTCCTAAAACCTCTGCAGAACTGGCTGGTCTTTTCTCATTTAGGACTAATACCATTGTGCTATACATTGGTGATTGCAATATGGGACTCATCAACTATACATAGGTCTAGCATAGCACAGGGTTCTTGCTTTTCAGCCTTACCTATTTTCTTGGGGAGTACATGAAGATTCTTCCAGACTCATTGTTTTGGCTTGCTTGGATCCTGGTTTTCTCTGATTTAAAAAAAAAAATCCCAATTTTCAGTTAAAAAAAACCCACACCTAAAATCCACATTGTTCCATGATTAAAATGAAACACTACTAATATATACCTATCTATATAGATCATTGACCTATCCATATAGATAGGTATATATTGGTGTTTCATTTTAATCATGGAACAATGTGGATTTTGGGTTACTTGCTCTAATCCAAAAATTGGGGATTTTTTTTATCAGAGAAAACCAGGATCCCTGCTGATCAGCCTGGGTTCTGGCACAGCTCTGCATGCAGTGAACTCTGGTGTTATTGCAGGTATGTCCTGGGCTTTATATGCTTGGTGTGTAGGTGGAGATCTGGCAGGAACTAATCTGACCAGCTGGTGAGCTCAGAGAGCTCACTGCATGCAGAACTCTGTGCAAATCAGATGTTGAGCTCAGAGAGCTCACTGGGCATGTACAGCAAAGCCCAAGAGAGACACAACTGTACCACAGCATCCCCCTGGATCCACCCTTGGGTACACATGACTCATGTTTGTTATAGGCCATTCCTGGGCTGGCTAAGCATTAAAGAGATTCCTCTTAACAAAGGTGTCTGGGGGTTCCAAATCCCCTTTGGAATTTCAACTGGTATTTTATATTATGTTCTGTTATGGGAACCTGTTCCTCCCATATATCCCATGTTAAATACAGGATATTCTACCATTGCCTCCTGGCCCAGATTTTGAAAGGGGAAAATTTAATAGATACCTTCTGCAAAAATTAAGATGATGGTTCCTTTTTGAGGTCTGGTTGAAATATGCAGCTAGAACAGGGCTGTCTAACTTGTAGCCCTTGGTTAATTGGCAGACCCTAGGCTCTTACCCAACCACTGCTCTCCCATTGCTCTGACTGCAGCAGTAACCAGGGTCTCTAGGCTCTGGCTCCCTCCTTCATCTTCTGTTTTCTGCTCCCACCTTAGGGGTGGGACTGTCCAGTGGAGTGGTGGACCCTACAGATAAGAGGCAATCTTGGGAGCTGGGGCATCCATGCAGTGTGGTACAGCAGGGAGATACCTGCATGACATACAGCCCAATGAGCTCATGCTCTGCACAGGTGCAGCCTATGTCACATGTGATGTAGACTGTGTAGTGTGTGGCCCCTGGTCACTTAGAAATTGAAGAGCCTTGAGCTAGACCCCTGACCTGCGCATAATAGACAGAGAACTAACCATCTTTATTTTGAGTAGGTCAGTGAGATGGATGCTGCCCTGAAATGGAAAGGCTCTGGTTCTAGCCTGACCCCCTGCTCCCAATGGGGCGGGAGCTATCCCATCCTTGGCAGACTTCAGTAAGGGGTGCATTACCTTTTGGTGACAAAAACATGATTTGTGTAAGATGGGCATGAATAAGGAAGGATAGTATGATAGCTAGGAATGTACTTGTAACTTTAATATTAATGTGTTTGTTTAGCTGCATGTATTATAGATTATACAGATCACCTGACACGTCAGTTATGTGACCCAGTTTTCAGTTGCTTATACTTGAAATGTTTCTGCTGAAATTTTTCAGGCCAGGTATTTATTTTGAGCTGATATACTTGTTTGTTTTTTTTAATGAATTCAGCAAATACAATTAGTCCATTTTTCAAGCTTAGATTGGAAATGAGTGCTTTGCCCATGTTAAAAATGTCTTTCAATGCTTTTTAAGCACAGTCTTGGAATTTGGTAACTGTGTGTATGAGGGGGAGGGGAAAATCCTTTTACTGTCTGGGATGTGTTGCTTGCTGTTTTGTTGTAAAGCCACCCTAATTTATTTTAATTGTAACGCTTGGAAAAATCTCACTTCATGCATACTTTATAGAGACTTTTCAGAGTTTGATACCTAAATTCTTAAAATATTCTGTCTGCACCTAGAATCCTTTGTGGTGGGACTGTAGGGCTGAGCAGGACTTTTCCTGTAATTTATCTTCCCAGCTGCTGCAGGCTGAGGTAGAGGTGGCCACAGAAACTGAGAGCATGGAGACTTTCTGTGTTGTTCTTTCAGACTAAGTATAGACATTACACTTATCGCACATTAAGTGTGCAGAAAGTACTTTACAGCTATAACAGAACAGATGTTCACAGCACATAAAACACTTAAAAATGGTGAATCCCAATCTAAGTTAGCCCTGGATGGATGTAGTATCCAACTAAAGTGCTTTAGGTTAAAGCACTTTATCAACTGTCTGTACTCTCCCACCATGAGTCAAGGTAGGTCGTATTCCCCTGGCATCCCACGATCCCCTCCTGGGTGGCTGGCTAGCCTTGGCCAGTGCTTATCTGTTCCTGGTGAGCAGCAGCTCAGTCTTGCCCCTGGGCTGTCACAGAGGAGACAGAAAAGGCTCCGTCTCCTGTCTGCACAGCTGGGTAGGGAGTTGGGGGAATGGAGTCCCTGTGCCATGCAGGCTCCCTCTAGATTGCTAGGTTGGGTCTTGAGGAGGGGGGGAGGGGAGATGGACAGGTTCTTGTGGCAGGGGGGCTCTGTTCACCTACCTCCAGTTCCCAACATGGTGAAAAGCCAGGCCAGGCAGCCTCATGCTGCAGCTCCTGGATTTAGCTGTCAGGAGGCTGGGGCCAGTAGTGAGGGAGCCCCACCTGACTGTGCAGACCCAACTCAGCCCCCTCCCATGCCCCCCAAGACCCGAGCCAAGAATCTGGGGGGGGAGGAGGCCTGTGTGGCATAGGGGCTCCATTTCTCCCCCTCTCTCCCAGCCACTGCTGACAGTTGCCAGCTGGCAGAGGGGGCAGGGCTACAGAGAAGGGCTGCTCTGGCAGCCTCCTGGGAGGCATGCCAGAGCAGCCCCAGCCTGGCCTCAGCTCGTGTGGGCAGGCTCCAAGCCCCCTCCTCCACACAACAGTGAACGTCTATTCAGTTCACTTCTGCTTTAACTTATACCACTTTAAGTAAAGTGCAATAGTTACAGTGCTTCCACTAGGGGCTTTCTGAACATCTGCATTTAGCCTCAGTGCTCCTACTGTGGCATCCCAAGTAAAGGACAACAAGAAATTGTTTTTTAGATATATAGGGAGTAAAAGGAAGGCCCAGGGAGGAATAGGACCCCTGCTACATGGGCAGAAACAATTGGTGACGGACAGGGGGGACAAGGCTGAACTCCTCAACGAGTTCTTTGCCTCAGTGTTCCTAAGCGAGGGGCATGACAAGTCTCCCACTGGGGTTGTAGAGAGGTAGCAGCAAGGCACCAGACTTCCATGCGTAGACCCTGAGATGGTGCAGAGTCACTTGGAAGAACTGGATGCCTTTAAGTCGGCAGGCCCAGATGAGCTCCATCCGAGGGTGCTGAAGGCACTGGCCAACATCATTGCAGAGCCACTGGCAGGAATATTTGAACGCTCGTATTTGAACGCTTGTGGCGCATGGGCCAAGTCCCGGAGGACTGGAAAAGGGCCAGTGTGGTGCCCATTTTCAAGAAGGGGAGGAAGGAGGACCCGGGCAACTATAGGCCAGTCAGTCTCACCTCCATCCTTGGCAAAGTCTTTGAAAAAATTATCAAGGCTCACATATGCGAGAGCCCGGCAGGACAAATTATGCTGAGGGGAAACCAGCACGGGTTTGTGGCAGGCAGATCGTGCCTGACCAATCTAGTCTCTTTTTATGACCAGGTTACGAAACGCCTGGACACAGGAGGAGGGGTAGATGTCGTATACTTAGACTTCAGGAAGGCCTTCGATACGGTATCCCACCCCATACTGGTGAACAAGTTAAGAGGCTGTGACTTGGATGACTACACAGTCCAGTGGGTGGCGAATTGGCTAGAGGGTCGCACCCAGAGAGTAGTGGTAGATGGGTCGGTTTCGACCTGGAAGGGTGTGGGCAGTGGGGTCCCGCAGGGCTCGGTCCTTGGACCGATACTCTTTAATGTCTTCATCAGTGACTTGGACGAGGGAGTGAAATGTACTCTGTCCAAGTTTGCAGATGACACAAAGCTATGGGGAGAAGTGGACACGCCGGAGGGCAGGGAACAGCTGCAAGCAGACCTGGACAGGTTGGACAAGTGGGCAGAAAACAACAGAATGCAGTTCAACAAGGAGAAATGCAAAGTGCTACACCTAGGGAGGAAAAATGTCCAGCACACCTACAGCCTAGGGAATGACCTGCTGGGTGGCACGGAAGTGGAAAGGGATCTTGGAGTCCTAGTGGACTCCAAGATGAACATGAGTCAGCAGTGTGACAAAGCCATCAGAAAAGCCAATG